AGAGTTGTGGTCAATGGCTCAGTGTCCATATGGAGAGGAGTGAGGAGTGGTGCCCCTCAGGGGTCTGTATTAGGACCAGTATTATTTAACATCTTTGTCAGGGACATGGACAGTGGGATCAGGTGCATCATCAGCAAGCTGGCTGATGACACCAAGATTTGTGGGGTGGTTGACACGCTGGACGGGCCCCAGCATAAGAAAGACATGAACCTGTTGGAGGAGGGCCAGAGGAGGGCACAGAGATGACCAGAGGGCTGCAGCACCTCTCCCATGTGGAAAAGATGAGAGAGCTGAGGTTGTTCAGCCTGGAGGAGAGAAGGCTGTGGATACAGTTCCAGTTCCTAATGGAGGCCTCCAGGAGAGATAGGGAGGTTTTTTTAATCAGGGAGTATAGTGACAGCACAAGGGGGAATGGCTTTGAACTGAAAGAGGGTAGGTTTATACCAGATATAAGAAAGAAATTTTTTTACTGTGAGGGTGGGGAGGCACTGGCATAGGTTGTGAAGTTGTGGCTGCCCCATCCCTGGAAGTGTTCAAGGCCAGGTTGGATGAGGCTTTAAGCAACCTAGTCTAGTGGAATGTGTCTTTGCCTATGGCAGAGGCAATGGAACTAGGTGATCTTTAAGGTCCCTTCAACCCAAATGTTGTCACCAATTGCTGCAGCTTCTTCAGCCTCACGTTCGCACACTAGTTGTAACTGTAGCAAGGGTGATGCAGTGCAAATAGCATGGGAATCCCAGTCAAGAAAAGGGCTGGTCCAAGGAACAGCATGGGAGTTTTGATGCAGGCCAGAAGATGTGAATAGGAGTTGTGAGTGGGAAAAGTGAAGACAAAGAATCTGATCCAGTTGCTTGCTAGCTGAGGACATTCCCTCCTGTGAAAGGAGGGAAAAGCTAGGGACTGGAAATAAAGAGGGTACGAGAATATTATGATACATTAAATCAGGAAGCATGAAAACTTCACTGAAACAACACCGTTAGCATCACACAGTTAAGCATTCAACAACTGGAAACTATAGTTCTTGCACTTCTGCAGCACTTGAGAGCCTTATTGTAATGTTAACAACATACTCTTCATGTTGATTTTGTACGTGATGTAGCAGTGTGCTCAGCCACGTTTTGGTCTTGGTTACTATATCCCATTCTGAGAATCTAGGGCTGGGGACTTATTTCTTTTCTTCTTAATGCTACCATAAATTCCATAGCATTAAACTCAAAGAGGAGTCATCATAAAAAATGCCAAAAACCAAAACCAAACAGATACAAGCATCAATGAAATAATATCCCGTTCTTATAAAATTGGGAGAAACTTAAAAGTGGCAAGTAGCTGGGAAAGCTTAAAGTGAAGACTGCTATCTTCACTTTGAAGAAAATGATTTTTTTATTCTAAATAAGCCTTGTGGATTCCAAAATATACTTTGTAAAATCATTGCTAACTGTCAGACGATTGAGTCATTCCAACTGAATCCAGTCAAATAATAATTGTGGCACTGCAGCTGATGACAAGAGTCAGGTATTTCAAGGCTCCAGACTATTTTTAACAGTATGTAAAAGAATGTAAAACACGTAATTATTCAAATGAAAAATACACAATCCGAAATACGCAGTGTTTTGAAAATAAGCAAGTAACCTGACACCTGTAACATTGCTGCAATTTGGTTGGTACTATGATTATGCCAAGTATTAGTGCAGCTGTCACCTGAAATGCTGAATACAAACAGTGGGTAAATGCTTAGTTTAGGTGAGCAAACATAGTGGGGCTTCTAAATCAATGACAACAGAAAGATCTTCCTTGGCTAGTTGCTGCGGTGTCACACAAATAGTTTGGCAGGAGGATGGTGCTGTGAAGGAGGAACACATTTCTCAGTTTGGGATCATGTTGTTCCTGGAAAATCTGACACAACCATTTTAATTTCTCCTCCAGCTTGAAGAGTTAGGGAACGTGTATATGTGTGTAGACTTCTGTACCAACACCCATGCCATTATCTATTTAGTAACACTGGCCTATGAGCATCAGAGGCCGCAGGCACTCATTGAAATCATGGTGACATCCCAGTTGAGACTCCTATCCTTACATTCCAAAATTTGTAGGCTGCTCCTTCAAGCTGTCAAACTGAGGCACACTGTCTATATCCACGTCTCAATAACAGAAGCTTCTTTCTTTCAAAGAAAAACAAATAAAAACTATGGTGAACCAAATGACATGACTCATTAGTTAAAATCCCCCAAGAAAACACACTCTACCTAAATCAGTTGTGACAGCTATTAATAATCCTGCCAGCTGCTACAGGAGGCCTTTGAAATGTACTGAGATCTCAACTTAAAGGTCTCCTGATAATGCATCCACTGCAGCATTTTAGAAATGAGCCTTACACTCAGTTAAGCCTTTTTAATCTTTATTTGTAATGACTAAAGTGATTTATCTAGGCTTCAACAGTTCATTAGTTTTAATGGTGGATATTGGGAACTGGCATATTACCACAGCCAGGTGTCAGCAGTATCTAGGGGAAAGAAAATACTTTACTGAATGCAAGTCACAGGACAGTGAGGAAAGAGATGAGTATCATGTCACTTGTTGTAGACAGTTGTTGAAACATTTTTGCAATGTTCCACCACCACTTGAATAACTCCAAATAAACAGTTTTGGAGGAACCAGCTAACCTTGGTTTTTTCAGAAGACCTGAGGAAGAACAAGTGGCGGCTTGTTTGCACTTTCAAAGTGTGAAGATTACATGCTTAAAACCAGGTTCAGTTTTCACTCAGCTCTGGCTATGGCAAAATTCAATGTAAATGGGCATTCAAACAAGCAAGGTGCAGATTTCAATCATCATCCCAGTGGCAGGGTCTCTGCAGGGTGTCACATGTAGACGAGTGAAAGAAGATAAAGCTGAAACTCACAGTCATCTTTCACATGTACTTCTCTATCAAGTCAAAACATACAGAGAACCTCTCAGTTTGTAATAAAGCCCCACATATTGCAAATTCACCAGAAAATATATCCTTCTTTAAATATCTCCCAAGTCTGACACTAAAGACATGCAGTGGATAAAGCTATTTTAAGGAACTTGTGATTTTTCTCCTCACGGGTACTGTGAGCACATTCTAAGTCGAGTCTTTACTGTATAAAGGCACGTCTCAAATGATGCATTTATATGGCAAAATGAAAAATGGAGCTACTGTGCAAAAAAAAAAAAAAAAAAAATCATTCTTTTCAAGAACATTCCAGTTGTAGTCTCCTTCTTGTCAAGCACTTTAAACAAGCTCTAAAATGTTGGGAAACATACCTCAGATACACCTCAGAGTTTTTCCTGCCACTGTCTTTGTGGAGGATCAGTGTACCTACAACACACTAAGCAATTGCCTATGTTGCATGCAAACCTGTTTCTGAGCAAGAATTTGGGGACATCAGGACTTTGTACAACAGAGAATACCTCTTTAAAAATCATGTGACAAGATGTCAAAAAGCCAAAATGGTCCACTGCTGTGCCACTTACTGACTGTATCACTTTTCTTTTTAACCTATTGTTTCTTTGTTATGCTCCATAAAGAAATGCTGGACTTGTAAGATTGCCACCATGCCAAGTTTCCAAAACTCTTGTTTAATATTTACCATTCAGACTCATCACATGTTTGCAGTTTTCCTTGCAACTTAACCTCTGTTGGGTCACGATTCCCAGCCTCAAGGATAGCTGGTGGAGGGTAGAGTAGATTTGGACAGCAGATTTTTCCTTGCTGGCAAGTCTTAAACTGCCCACTGTTCTTGGGCTTTTTGTTGGTTTTCTTGCTATTGTGAGTTCAAGACTTCTTTCTGCCTGCCTAGATGTGCCTATGGCCTCCATCCCTGTAACATCCAAATGTCAATCAGTTCTTCACCACACCTTCTGTGGTTTGCAGAGCAGCCGAGGTTGTAAAGAACCTCTTGAACTCATCTTGTCCAGTACCCTGCTCAAGCAGAGCCACATAGAGCTAGTCGTTTTTTGAATATTTCTAAACAGGGAGAGAAAATAAATATTATTATTTCCATTGTGTAGCTAAAGAATCAAACAGAAATATAAGGGATTTGCCAAGGAAGTTACAGAACTGAAATTCTACAATTTTGATTCACAATAAGCCTTATTCAACATCACTGGGCACTTATGACTATTCTTGCCTACTGGTGGTATGGCCTGAATAAAAAGGATAAAAGGCTGATAAAACAAACAAACCCAAAACAACAACCACCAGTGAGCAGTGTGATAACTCAGATACACATCACAGTTTTACTTAACTAGCACTTTGTTTGTTTGCTTTTTGATGGGTATAAAGTAGCCAGGGAAAACAAAAAAAGGCAAATAAGGTGAAGAACTGTAGGGGAAAATACTGAAGATGCACAGGTGTTAGCGCAAGACTCAAGGTGCTACAAAATCTAGGCTGACAGTCTGTGCAGGCTTTTTAATCTCACAAAGTCCAGCAGTTGAGGGTTGGCCAAAGCACAGGGTTTGCAGAACCAACCAGGCTAGTCTGAAGACTGCCAAGACAAGGCCAGTCCACCACTGTCCTTGGATAGGAAAGGGAGTGCAGAGGAAGGGGGTGAAAAGGAAGGGAGAGCAGGGGGAGGCTGAGGAGCAGGGTCTGTAGGGCATTTCCAACAGTTTAGTAGGAGTCAGTTCTTCGTGGGATGAGGTCCTCTGAGGCTACTGCTGGGCAGGCTCCTCCTGGCATGCCTTTCTCGGCGTCACTCTCGAGACGCCACTCGTTCATTCTTAGGATCATTTCTGACCCTAAACGTTAAAAAGTCATGTGGGTGTATTTTTAAGCTAGTATCTATGGCTCTCGTTTTCTTTTGTGTCTCCTGAGCCTCTGGTCACTGATGGACTGCCTACTTCTTCCGCTCCTCCTGAGCTGCAGCGTAATTACATCCGCAGCCACCTCCGGGCCACACGCCCATTCCGTGCCCTCTTCCAGCCCGCGAGCCGAGGGCACAGCGGGGCGGCCCGGGGGAGGCGGTGCCGGGCTGCGCGGGCCCCACTCCTCCCTCACCGCCCCCGCGCCGTGAGACGACACAAGATGGCGGCGGTCGGGCCCAGGCCGGGGGAGCGGCAGCGGGCTGGGCTGCCCGGTGTCGCGCAGGGAGCCGTAACCCGCATGTCTTCCCTGCTTTATTAACCACGGAGCTCGAGGAGCAGCAGAAGAGGCAGCGTGCGCCCTGTTTTCAGCCCTGAAATGACACCGAGATACTTGAACGCGGGCGGACGGGAGAGAATGGTGCCCTGATGCGCTGAAGGGCTGTACCAGGATCAGTGCTACAGAAAGCAGCACGCAGGTATGTGCATCAACAGAGAGGCAGTGTTGGATTAAAGTAAGACGCAGATGAAACTCGTTTATAAAGCAGAAACTTGATGAGAAGAAACACCCACATTCAGTGGTCATGGCACTTAGAAATACAGAGAAGAAAAAGAAAGTCCGTTGGTAGACACCTTTCAGTACCTCTTGTTCGTAACAGGATTCTGTTTTTGTCATCTCTTCCTGCTGCTGTGGATTTGTTACTAGTTGGCAGAAAGCCCCAGTCGGGTACCCTTCTTACAACCACCTACAGCAGCAAAGGGCCTGTTCTTGCTCAGACAAACTCCAGTTTCATGTACAGTGTTTTGTAGTAGTTCCCATGTATATAGTTCAGCGCCCCCACAGGCATACGTTTAGTCAAATGGCTGTCATACAACAATAACTGTGCTCCCTGTTTGTATGTGCCAGCTGGATTTTTCAGCACTTAAGATAAGAATGTGCCTACTCTTCTTAGTTTACTTTAAACTTCAGAAAAATGTTTGGTAAGTTGGCAAAATTGACTGTTAGGACTACAGCAAACTGTTTATATAAACTTCAGAACTGTTAAGATTATATACATTAGTAATATTTATATATAAAGCAAACTGCTAAAACTTTTGACTTTGGATGTATCAAAAAGCAAGTCTAAGTATCGTAAGTTAGAAAAAACAACAGGACGGTTGGAGGACTGAGAAGGTAAGACAGCTAAACTTCATGCTGTATTTTACTGGTTATAGCCTCCAAAATTAAAATAGTGCAATGGCAACTCATGTTCCCCTCCTGACATGAGGGAAAGCAGTACTGCATTTGCACATAAGGCTTGTGCACAACACTGGTAGATTTCACCTCACTTGTTTAAAACTTTCTAAGAGGTCACTAAGGTAAGAGATGAAAAACCTGTTTAGCTCAATACATGTCTTCCTACTCAGTAAAGGCAACAAGTCATTGATTACGGTTAGTAAAATTTTCAGTTGTTTTGTTAACAATCTGTGTATTAATGGCACTGCTTTTTCCACTTTCTAGGCAGCAGCAGGAGAGAAAGGGATTTATCATAGCAACACTGAACCAAGACTACGCCTCAGCTCTTCATATGGAACTGATGACAGAGGAAGCTGCAGAACTGAAAGCAGTCAGTCCTTGACTGCATGAGACCATGCTTCTCACAGAAGGCAAATGATGTCTTACTTAAAAAATTTTATGAAATGCAAACTTAATGATTCACTTTTCTTAGAGCTGTTACACTTGAATAACTGCGCAAGGTTAAGGTTCCTACTCACTTCAAATTAAGATTTATAGTTTGATTTGCTGTGAAGACTATGGAGGTCAAATTAAAAAAAAAAACAGCAAAAACTCTTCTTTTAGCATACAGGGTTTTTCTTTCTCCTACTACAGGAGAGCCTTTTTAGATACATGGTGAACTAAAACTTAACAAGTACAGAACAAAACATACACAACAACATTTTTTCACAGAAAAAAGTAGCCTCTGAAAACGTGAAGTTGTCAGTAAAAAGGAATACAACAGCAAAGTACATAATATAGCAATACTTTTATATTATTGCAACAGCAATAATACTATCAGTAAGTACTATCACTAAATCAGTAGAAAAGTAACTGCTTACAAATGCAAATACTGACCTAATATTAATTAATCAATACTGCTGCAGGCATTGAGTGTGGATAACTGTATTTTCAGCTTTGTAGTGCAGAACTTCTGGTTGTAAACTTGTGTGCTTTAATGATTTAAATAACAGTTTGGACCTTTTGCTTTATACTGTTTGTGTCTAGCTTAAAGATAAATGTCTGGTAACTTATCCTGGGTTTACTCCACAGTGCTTGAGAGTTGCCTGTGTGATCCAGTAAGATAGTGGGACTACCAAGTTTCCTTTATTTGAACAAGTATTGGAATTTTTGACCAAAGTGAGATTAAGTTCTACTCACGTTAGAAGAGCACTCCTGTCCAATATACGCACAAGAAACTATCAAGAAGCACACTTCTTAAATTGACACTGGTTTATTGTGTTTAGGAACATTTAATAAATACCAATCTTTTGGCTTCAGTTTGGCAATCCTTTCCCACCAAAAATCCATTGTGTTGGGGTTTTTTTCTGGCATAAACTCCATTGCCAGCAATGGATGTATCAGAAAAAGAAGTTAATAAATACAGACAGCAGTTCTCTAGACATACGTCTTCGTTTAAAGGCATGATACAGATTTACTGAACAAATGTCAAACAAGTTCTTCACAGAAGAAAATTTTACTACAAGCTGTCTCTGAACATTGTTTTCTTCACTAATGCTGGTAGTTTATTTCATTGAGTACAATATTTTTGAACAGTACTGTTGAATCATTTAAAAACAAGCTTTTTCCCCCTTTTCCTCAGCTTAAGGTAAGATGAGACATGTAATTAGTACTGAACTGTATGAATTTAAGACTGGTGTACCTCTTCCTGAGCATTTCATGACAATCATGAAGAAACAGCAATATAAGACTTTGTTAGTATGGGCCTGGGGAATTTTTTTCAGTTGTTTCAGCTTGCTTTTAAACCACTGTTCAAATGTTAAAAGTATCATATTTAAATTTAACAGATGTTTTGTGTAAATTTTTGTGAAGTTTAAAAACATGATGGAAGATTCCTGCTTGTGATGAGAATCACTTTCAAGTACTTAAATTTGAATATCCCACAAAACTCCATTGCTTATTAAAAATGTGTTTTTATAAAAGCATGAAGACTACAGAAAACCAATTAACATAACAGAGTTAATCTTGAATAAATTTTTTCACAACTGTATTTTACATATAACCAAACTCCTGCTTTAGCAAAAGCAAAAAGAATAAAAATAAATTCTCTTCCAACTATTTACACTCAGGAATTACCTTTCTGAGGGACTACATACTTTACTCTACAGTCCCTCTAACCCAAGATGTATTCTTAGGTGTATCCCCTTGTAATTTTGGGTCTTGGAAGTTTTCAGCAAACCTCTCTCTTGCTTTGTCCCAGTTCTTTTTATTCTTGCTCTGGATGAGTTGAACATCTTCAATTGAGACTGGTCTCCTAATACCGAAACCTGCATGCTTCTGATGTAACTCAAGTTGGATCTGTCAAATGCATTAAATGTTTTGTAACTGCAAGTTAGGTATTTTAAATACTTCATATTTTTCTAATACAAATTCCATCCCCCACTCCCAAGCACTTCTCTCTCAGTTTCTAATACACCTAGACCATACATGAACAGTACCATGGAAATGATGTGTCAAATCACCACCTCTAGAACCATGATTTAGAGTGCTGATAGATGTCACCTGCCCCTAACATTACTGTGAAATACACCTGAGTGAGCAGCATATGATCCTGTGCTGGCTAGTTTGACAGTTCAGGGCATGCTGTGGCTCTGAGCAGCACCAAAAGCAACATGTATCTGGTGACAAAAATGAGGCTAACATGCCTGCCACAGAGGCCTGCAACTTGGTGGCTACAGTGACATCAGCTAGCTTTTCCTCTCTTCTGGCCCATCATCTGATTTTTGTGCTACAGCAGCCTCAGAGAGAGTGAAGAGCTCTACCCTAAGCTCATCTGGAATTCACATCACTTAAATGATTTCAATCTTCCTCCTGACTATTGTATTCAAATATGACGTTATTAATTCAATGGCTAGAAGCTGTCTGTCCTCCTTTGCATAGTTTCCTAACAAACACAGACATTTCTGGCATTTTCTGCTGAAGGGACAACGCTATTGAAGAATTTCAAAAGGCCTCATTAGTCAAGAAAAAAATTATTTGAGATCAGTCTGACTGAGATATTCCTTCCTAACCAGGAGTTTGAAATGTTTCAAGTGAATACTGGCATACAATTAGATATTTTTCACTGCAAATAAACTATTATTTTTGTGTCAAGTGAAAACCAGAAAGACCTACCGGATTCTTCATACCACCACCATCCTTTCCCAGGCCTTCGCCCTTCCTCCATCCCATCTTCTCCAACATTTTATGTCCTTTGTTGCTGTTGCTGATTTCACTTGGAAGAAAATTTAAGGTAACTGATAACCAGGAGTTCATATAAAGAGTATGCCCTCAAATACTGAACAACAGAAATGTGTGTGCATATGCTGCTCTGGAAACCACAAATCAAATACTGTGCTGCTCCTACTTCCATCAAGAGCTATCCAGAAGACCTTTTAAAAGTTCCTCCAAGAGTATCTTTGGTTAACAAAGCCATTCCAAGCATCTGGTGACTATCAACTTTCTTAAAACTGCTTCTGAACTATTTGCTTGCTTTAGGAGCTAAAAGCTACATCATGGGTGGGTGGGAATGGACTGCACTAGGGAAAAGGGAGTATCTGTGCCAAGTCATCCTAATGCATTTATTTCATTGTCTCACACTTCCTTTTACTAATTTACCAGCATCTAGAAGGTCATGTTTCTTAAGAAAACCACCCCAACTACAACTACAGAAGCAAAGGAATAACTGAAGAGGAACATTATATTAAGTATCAAGATGTATGTAAATACATGTTCTATGACAGGCTGGATATTGACAGTGAAAGAAATTGCAGGTGAAAAATCTGCACGTGTACTATTACTGGGACTGAATAGGAAAAATAAAAATTGAGCCTCTTGAAAAACAGACACTACAGAAAATGTCAGTAATGCAGCTGGGTCTTTGATTTTTTTGAGTTGAGAAGGAAGTGATCTGAGCATCCTTACTGCCCAGTTGAATTCTGCATGGAAAGTGATGAGTTAAGAAAAAGACTATGTGAAATGGTATGTATGAATAGCTTACAATTTTCTAGCTCGCCTAACACATTATATACAGGTAATTTGTAATCTAAAAAAACTATATGCTAGTAACAAATTGATACTTTATCATATTTTTTTTAAGATTCACAAGAAAAGGACATGGGGGATACCTCCCCTGCCTTTCCAACTTACATATGAACGGAAGCTGAACTGTCATCTCTCTGGAAGGTTCCTTCACTTCCAACAGTCTCTCTGCGTTTTCCTGCTCTGTCTTTGTACTTTGGATTCTTCACTGCTTTGTTGTCTTCATACTCTGTGTTCTTTACAAGCAGATTAAATTCCATCAAGACAAAGAAAGTGGGCTTTAAATTCTTTATTTTTGATAACTGTACTTCTTCCCTCCAAAGCAAGGCAGCTTCAGCCTACTTCATTAATTCTAAACCTTATAACAAAAAACGACAGTCCTCACCTAGTTTACAGCCATACCCTGTAAGGCATATTATTGCCATCATCACATAATGATGTAATATTGCCAATTTCAATAATTTCACAGAAGCTGTAAATAAAATAACAGGTTTTCTTGAATCTTCTCTTGGTATGAAGAATCAATCTCTTCATATCAAGCAGAAAACCAAGTGGCCATGGCACTGGCTTTTTGTATAAACATTTAGCCTGTTCCTCAGCAACTGTTTTTTTCAGAATAGATGACAGAACTAAGCATGTCTACAGATTCTCTATTAATATTATTTTGGTAGCTGAAGAATCTGAAAGAAACAATGGCATTCTGATTTGTACATGAATATTTAACTACAAATGCTGGATAACTATGCCCCATAGTTAAAGTTATATCTAAAACAGAAGTAACTTGAATACATATATACTATATTGCCTGTATGTTCACGATGGCATTTTTCTACGGACTTAAAAACTTGAGAAAAATTCCTTCCACCATTTTTTTCAGTTGCTCATTATTTTTCCTTTCCAAATAAAAGATAGCACTGCAATTCAGTGAAAATTTAATCTGCAGAAATAAAAATGTCTTGCAAAATCTTAACCTCAAAAGGATTAAGAATCTTGTACCCATTGGAAAGACCTTCTTTTCCTAAACTTTAAACAGAATTTTCATGCCCCCTTACATCATCTCTCTCAGTACAGGTTTGTTAAGAATTATTATTTAGGGTACAAAAGACAAGCTTGAGTTAAACTACCAGGCTCAAGTTTGAGCACATTTGCAAACTTCTCTTAAAACTTAAAATAGGAATCACAAAGCATTAAAAAAATAGAAACCAGAAGATTAAAAAAAACTTAATGAACTTCCTACTCTAAACTCACCTGTAAACCATATTTTACCCGTATTTGTTTTAATGCTTTTCTTCTGACTAACTCTCTCTCTTCTTTGCTAAGTGCTGGGCAAACTAAAAGGAAGAACACAGGATTGAGTTTCTAATTAGTGTAACAATGTTTTGAAACATGAGAAGTGTGAGAATTTTTGTTCTAACATTATTATAGACACACATACCAAGAAGAAAATACATCATGTACAACTACTTCCAGTTGATAAGAAAATTGTAAGAAAACTAATTACTATGTTTATATTATAAACAGCTATAATAAAGCCATAATAATAAACATCTCCTGTGATAACCTGACTAACCAGAGGATTCCTTTTTCCTGTCCAGGCGAAGATGTGCTCTGACTTGTCCTGGTTCACACCCATCACAAGTATCACTGCCAGGATGTATATGAAAAGAAAGCACAGTTTCACCAATCTTCACTTCATCTCCATGCTCCAAGATGTAGGGATCACATATAGTTTTAGGCTACAGCAAAAGAAAGTTTTGGCAGTCATGTTAGTTACTCATGAAGGACACAAACTCTATTTCATGCATGCTGCTTACAATTCAGTAATTCAGTCTGGTCTCACAAATGCAGGCAAGTACTTAACTACAGTAGGGATCTCACTCTAGCAACTGCAAACACAGTGGATTTTTCTTAGTATAACCAAACATTATGTACTGTAAGTGGCCCTAAAACCAGAAGGGAACCAAGGCAGACATTAATGTATGAAAGAAGCCA